GCACTTGGACTTGGGCGCAACCCTTTTCTGGCCAAAGGCAGAGGTATCACAAAGAGAACCAAATTCTTGGGCCCGAGGTTGGCGTGGTGCTCTCCAGACCTTGCTGTACCGCCTACCCCGACGTACCATGCCGCTTCACCATAGCCTCATGTCTCTGATACCTGTACTCTACCTGGAATATGGACCGTGTAGCTGGCCCGGTGCACAGAAAGGTCAATGTTGGCATACAATTACTTGCGGCAACATAGCCATGTCACAGAGCCTGGCAGCCAGATTTCTTTACAATATAAGATATCTGGCATTCCCACAAGGCCTCTTCGCACCCTTTCCTGTACATTCTGACACTGGTATCCAGTATCAACCACATCTTTCATCTGGGTGGTCCAAATACTGCAGTTCTCGCTCGTGCAGTCCACGTATGCCTGGACTGGAATACGACCCTACGACCCCACGGCTTTAGCAAAGAGTCTACGGTACCTTGGCTCTCGTCCGATCCTTCTTGAACGATATCCGTGCCCACAGACCACCGCTGACTGTCAGAACTGTGACAGAAACGAAAAAAGGTGAGACAGGGCCGATGACCAGGATAGCCTAGCCCCGTTACTGACAGCTGCAATTCATAGCCAAGCTAGTCTAAACCGTCGGGCACGAAAGTACACTAGAGCTCTGTGCTTAGTTGGTATGTGTTTCCCCCTGCCTGCGTTGGGGAGAAGAGCCTGCCTACTGCTTTCCCTCTTGTATTGCCCCACCCTCGCTCGGTCCTCCCGTCTTATGAGCTTTCGACTTTCAGCTGGCTTGTGAGTCGTCGTCATACCTATTTGGAGTTTTCATCTACCAAATCCCAGAGTGCACGGGCAATTTAATCATCAGCCAGGAACGGCTTGGGAGCCTCAGACTTCTTTGGGATGGTTCATAGCCGGGGTAACTCATCATTTCCCATCAGGCCAGGCAAAAAGCCCTTAGGTCCCCAAGATGCCCCAGCCTTGTACTCAATGCCCCCGCTCCCCACACCCTACTTCAAATTGTCCTGAAGACCTCACGACTCACTCGTAAGAGCGGTCTGGAGGCAGTTGCAGGACACAGCCGATCCATTCCGGGCTGTAGGGGGGAAAGGCCGAGTGTCTCTGCCCATTTGTGATTAGCAAGCCATCAGTCGAAGGCCACGAAAGTGATACGTTCGTTTTTCGGGATGGCCAGCCAGCCAGCCAGCGAGGGAAATTTCTTGCAGGATGCCCAAGAGAGGAAAAAGCAAAACAGCGGCTGACTTGACAGGGAGCGACTGTACAGGGACCCACGGACGATACTATTGGGCCTCTACGGTGACGGCAGGCTTGGCTCGAAGGAGCCTACACTCTGTCCGCAAAGGCGAGCGAATCGCCCAGCCTTTTACGCCCAGACGGTGTATACGTGTGAGGGTTGTCGAGGTAAGCGACCAGTCAAACCCAGCCTGTCCCATCAGGGTCGGTCATCTGCCATCATAGGCTGGTCACTCTGTCTGTACATGAGAGCAGCCCAAAACGATCGGCGGCAGTGCATCTGCAACGCGGGCGGCCATTTTAGACCACAGGCATCACCATCAACACCACCAAAAGCACCTGCAGATACCTAGATACCTCGTTGACCGACATTCTTGCGTCTTCGAAAAAAAAATCCCATCCACGTGTTGCGCTCCGGTTTCTCCCATCGGGCATTTGTTGTGAGTATTTTGCATTTAGCTCTCGCCTATCTTGCATTTCCTGACGCGCTTATTGGAACAATCCCATGCTCGCTGGTTGTTGTCTGTTCCATTCTACCTTTTTCATCCCCAACAATCCGTGCACAGCAAAGTAGTGGTGAACACAGCCGGCAGTCACATTCCCCTCTTCATCATCAATTATCCTTTGCCTATTGAGGTGGTGCGTACCCGTTGTGCATCACACACGTTGAGAAATGACACACGTTGGGCCCTCTCCGCTCGAATCAGACGAGCGGGAAAGTTTAGGGCGGCCGGGGCCGTTGTCCCAGTCTCAGAGCTTGTCGAGCCTGTCGGCGATAATAAGCACGTCGAGAGCGAGCCTTCTCTCTCGTCCCTATCACGTCAGTCCGCCTTTGGGTGGAGAGGACGACAAGCCAGACATAGCATGCAGGCCCCAGAGAGAAAGACAGTGAGATGGATGAAATGTTTCCCCGCAGATCGAGCCTTGGACGGACTGATGCGCAGATCTTCAGCCCGCAGGGTCGATGACTGCCGACGGGACCAGGCCCCGTTGATACACCTGAACTAAACAAATTCCCTTGTCCCCCCGTCCGTCTCCACCTGCATCTTGTCCCGCACCCTGACGCAGCTGCTCGCACCCCTGTTTAACGTGTACATACACCTTGCACGGCTCCATAGGCCAATCATTCGCTAATGGATACAGCCACTCCCGGCGTCTGCGTCCAAGTCCCGTCAGTAGACAGGCAGTCAGTTGCAGCTTGCCCAGCGCCCTTGCAAGTGAAGTGGGCTGGCCCCAAGCAATCAACCAGAGCTTTCGGCTGCCGAGATTGGGCTTTGTATTTGTTGAAGGCCTATGCGGCACTTTTCAACCCAAAGGATACGAAGCTGGGTGTTGGGGGAGATCAAGAGGGGACCAGTCACTTATCAGTAACGCCAAGGTAAGGGATGTTTTGTTCTACGGCCTTTCTGGCTGTATTCATTTGGTTTCTGACCACCCCCGCCCCCTCTCTCTCTTTCTGCGGTGTACTTGATACTCAGGGTACATTTGAATATGTTTATCTGGCCGACTGCCCTTGCACCGACCAACCGATTTGAGCACTCCAGTCTTGCAATATGGACTAGTTCGGTTGCCCCCCCTCCCGATGGAGCAGTCGGTTTGTGCCCGTTACTCGAAAGAATTGATCTGCCTCCATCCTGGCCCCCTTACCTTTCCTTCCATTCTGCTGCATCTTGCCGAACAGTGTCGGTGGGGTGTGTGTATCTGGCACAGACAGCCGTGCCAGAAGCCCAGATGCCACTGGGCCAGACTACGTGATCTTGCCTAGCCCATATCCACCGCCCATCCATCCATCCACCTCCCCTGTCTGCGCGCCACTTTTGACTTAACCTTGGCTCAACTTGGCCTCCAGATACCGGCTGGATGAGGACCCGAAGCCAGCTCTCCCGCCTCTACAATCTCATCACACTCGGCGGTATTCGCGTCGCTGGCGGGTAGCCTCATGTTGTTCATTCACCTCCGTTTGGCGGCTGTCTCGCCCCCTTCCACCCCCTGCCTCACATCAACGTCCACTCTAGTAGCGGCCACCTTGTATATTTCCCACTGCATCATCTCGTTCTATCCTTGCAGCAGACTGCCGAGCCTCCAACTCGACGATGTGGATCTGGCATACTGCTAGCATTAGTATGGATGAGCAAGGATACATCCGGTTGGAGGTTTTGTTTTGCAGCTGCCATTCGTCATCAGTGTTTACTCAGATCCCATCCCTGCCCTCCCCGGATGCACATCGCTTTGCCACGCCCCCTGGTTGTATGTACAGTACATGGCTTATGTGCTAGGATGGCGGCAGCTATCTTCGAGCCCGTCCATCGGTTTGTACGACGGGCGGGGCATCTGTCAACATTACCCTGCTACCTACTTACGGGCATACGAGACCAGAGCGACGACCCTGCTGACCGGGGTCGGTAGCTATCAAAGTTCTTTCCATGGGGGAAAAGAAACTATGTCCTGACGTCCCAACCCTCCCATGCTGTCCACCCCATTTACATGCTCATAACGTGCTTTCGCTCCGATCCTGGACCCCACACTCGGACTCTCTTAAGGCTAGTTGCCTCTCCTCCTTTCCTGTTTCCTGCCCCTCGCAGCACTGGGTAGATACTCGATATCGACCCAGACTTTCTTTTGGCTGTGACGTTGGACTTGCAAACCATTTTGAGCCCGCAAAAAGCAATGCTGCCATATGTCTCTGATCCCTTTTGCACATCCACCATCCCCTGACATTGAACCGAGACCTTTCATGCTCTGAAGTGGTTCTGTCCTACTGGATCCACGGCATCCCTTCTGATTGATTCAGGTACCCCATTTTCAGCACACTTGTTGAGATAATACCTGCCAAAGGCTGGATCCTGCAGGCTTGCCCGAGCTGGCTGACCCGTTGACTGCCTAGACCGCGTCACTTACATTCCCAAAAGTCAACTTGGTTCCGCTGTCTTGTGCAAAGGCGGGCGTCATCTGGTACTGCTGCAACAGCGATTTGCTACACAATCAACACTGCCACGACCCTGCAGTTACTTGGTAGGTCTGACCGCATCCCCCTTATTGCATCCCAACAGGTTAGAGCAGATCCAGATCAGGATGGGCGTGTGTGTCCCTCCCCCTTTGCATCGATGTCTCTGATGCCAAAAGGAGCTGCGCTGGGATCCGATACTTCCCCAAAATGTACACGGGCTAAGTGATACCTCGCTCTCTAGGTCTTCCCGCGGAAGAGAGCGAAAGAAGCAAAAAAAAGAGAGCTCTCATAAAGCCTCATCTGCGCTCAGGCCGCTTCAATTTCAGGAACTGCTGCCTTCCGTTCGCCGGCAAGGGAGCCTGCCTTGCACCATTATAACACTCTCCTCCCCTTGGAATGGGACTGTCTCTATTGAGTATTAAAAGTCTTGGACGCCACTCGGTGCTTCTCAGTTTCGCCAGTAAGATCCCTCGATGACCCCATCCTGTCTCACCCCGAGTATCTCCCCAACCAGAAATGACCAAGTGGATGTGGTTCTAACGCCAGGGAAGACATTTGTCAAGCAGATCGGTCTGTAGATACCAGCATATCAAATCTCCGGGAACGAGGCCTTAACAACTGGAATTCTCCTATATTGACTGATCCAGCTGGAAGGGCCCGCGACGAGACTGGTTTAAACAGCAGAGGCAACCGCTTTTCTTGTTCGAGACAGTGGTTTGCATTTCTTACCTTTGTTCTTCCCTTCAAGAAGAAAAATCACCACTTTCCCCAGAATAACTCCTCCCACAAGCAGCTTGATGTCTGCTCCCAAGTTCCAGTCCGCGTCTTACAAGCTTTTCGAGGTGAGTCGCCCCCTCAGACCTTGTTCCATCAACTGGCATACCACTATCTGGCCTTGATTTCCCCCTCTTTCCAAGGCAATAGACTCTCTCACGAGCCTGCCAGACAAGAGAAGAATCTCGTCTCTAGATCAGTTGCGTAGTAGTTGCTGAACCAGAAGAACCTCCTTTGTTTTGTTTCGGAAAGTCCATTTCCTTTGCTGACTTGAACCGGCTGTGCAGCCTGACTACCACCCTCAGAAGCCAATTATTGTTGGCTTGGACGACAGGCTCGAATCGCCGGAGACGCTCACCCTCAGATACGAAGAAGCTGCCCGCGCAGCAAGCGGGGGAGACCCAAGGGGGGACTCCCCGCCTAGAATTCTAGATATGGCAGCCTACGGAAAGCAGGCACCGCCGCTACCTTCGATGCATGGTACGTTTAGTTGAGAAGACATCCACAAGACTCTCTCCTCCATGATGGGAGACTTGTGATGCTTGGAGCCACGGCACGTGGCTTCGTGGAGATTAAAGGCTAAGGGGGACGAATGAGTAGGTTACGAGAGCACACGATATCAGCCGGCATCCTACGACGCCTACTCAACGCAGGCGTTTCCTCCATCCACAGAGAAATTTGCGCAGTTGAACCAGCAGGCATTCTCGTCGAACAATGCCGTGAACACAGGGGTCTCCCCATACATGCCCGCGGGACCGGCTGTTCTTTCGTGGCAACCACAATCTGGAGTCTATGGAACCAAGGTCTTCCTCAAGTTTTCAGCCCAGTATGATCTTTTTGGGCTCCCCTCTGCGATCCCCTACTTTTACCTGCAGTTTGGTTCAGAGAAATGCCCGATGCACGACGTGACCAGGGACAACCAGGATACAAATGGGTTTGTCTACTCGTGCAGTGCCGACGCACCTCAGTTCCTGGTCACAGGTAGCGAAAACAATAACGTGCCACTGGTACTGCTGATTGAAGGCGCGGCAGGAGAGGAGATCTCGAGGACAGCAGTCGGCACTTTTCAATATGTCCCTGGGTCGGGGGATGACATCACGCGCCCAGGTAAAGGTTCGAATGATGGCGCTGCAGGTGGACCGCAGACTCACGAGAGCGTGTCACCGAAGACTGAGCCGCCCTTGTCGGCAGCGGGAGACGCAAGTACAAATAATTACGAGGACCCTTCGCCGCAAGGGCCATACCCAAATGCGACGTTCCCGCAAGGAGCCCCAGATATGATCAGCACATACAGAAGTTCGAGCTTTGCCGACCCCCCTTATCATAGGCGGTCGGCCCACGGTTGGAGCGGCTTTGCCGGAACTCTGGCGAGCACAGGAAGGAGTCCTATTTTAGGCCAGCCAGGTATTACGGGACGAAGCGCTCTCAGTTCGTTGCCTATGCCCGCCTCTGGGTCCGGGACGCCACAGCTTGTTCGCACAAGCACGATTTCCAACCCCGGCGGCAGTGGCCACTATCACCATGTCTCTCTATATTCGGCTAAGGCCGTTCTCAAGATCAACGGTAGACTGGAGACCATGACGGAGAATTGGACCCCAGAGGAGTGGTCTGCTCGTCGTCGTATCGTCATGTTCCGTCGCTCCCAGCAGGGATCGACACTTACAGCCACTTTCCGGTCTGTTGCTGTAAACGAGCGACCACCCAACAGCATCTGCATTTCATGTATCTACTGGGCCGAGCGTGACTCATACTTTGTTACCTCCGTCGACACTATCTACCTCCTGGAACAGCTTGTTGCAGCACCAAGCCGGTTTAGCGTTGAGGAGAAGAACCGCATTCGACGTAACCTCGAAGGTTTCCACCCACAAACCGTTTCCAAGGTCAAGGCCGATAGTGAGGAGTTCTTCAAGCTCATCATGGGCTTCCCTAACCCAAAGCCCCGCAACATCGAGAAGGATGTCAAGGTCTTCCCTTGGAAGACGCTCGAGGCTGCGCTCAAGAAGATTATTGGAAAATACAGTGCCAACCCCAGCACGCCTGCCATGATGACACCCACACCATACACTCTCCCAACACCCCCTGGACCTGGCCAGAGCCTGTCGTCCCAGGCGAGTGATCACCACAGCCAATATTCTGTACACACCAGTCACCATGACGCGATGCCATCGCCAAGATCTCTCTCAGGGTCACAGCCAGCATGGACACCCTACACAGCTGCCCCGGCTTATACAGCTGCGCCAAGCCGCACGCTTAGTCCTAACATGCGGCTACCGAGTCCGCAACATCCTCCCTCCCTTCGTGTTGGCGCCAGTCCTCTACCCGCGGTAACAACATACGATACGCGCACGGTGACCACGGCTGGTTACGCACCGTCGGGCCTGCATGCACCGATAACCCATCACCATGCCTCTACCACGCCTCCTCGCTGGGATGCACCCACCCCGAGCTACAGCGACAGTTATCCCAGCCTGGCATCTCACCACACCCAGGGTGGACATGCCGTGTATACGAATGCTACCGCCTCGTACAATGACGCCGGCGTGCCGCGCGCATAAGTTCGAGGCTGGGTAGATGCTACCAAGAGCACCCAAGCCCCAGAGGCGACGCCATCTCGTCGTCATCTCACATGGCTCTTGTTAGCGGGGGAGGAGAACCCTGTATCCGATGCAGGGTGAGGGTGACTTGCAGCCGTGCGCAAAGTGCCCATCGGCAGGCTAAGGAAAGCAGCTGTGGTCAATCATGGGCAACAACATTGGACAGCCTCGTGAGAACTGACGGCACATGTTTGGGGCAGGCAAAGGGGGGGAGAGGTTGCCATCCGTTTGGAGGGTCGCGCGGGCAGGTCACCTGGTGCATCGAGCCCCAATCATGTGGTCGGCCAGACCACCACCAATGCGACCTTGTTAGGTCTCCACCACGGCAGCCTGCGGGAAGCGTAACCCCATGATGCGAGGCGGGATCGCCATGTTCGCGCGTGTCTCACTCTTGCCGTCTATTGGGAGGAATTTGCCTGCTGCCCTTGGAGCGTGGGTCCTGGGCTGCTGGAGGGTTCGCTCGCTCTCTTTTGGTTATGCCTCGCATACTTGATGCAACCACCACCACATACTACCCGCCTGTCTCCTATGCGCACCCGGGGGTATCTCCTCATGGCTTTTTTTTAAAACCCCCTGTCTTTGACACTCGCGGGTTGCAGCGTGGTGGGGGTTCAGCGATGCGCGGTATCATGGGATTGCATGATTGTGTTGGTATCTCTAACCCAGTCTGCATCCCGCCTAATATTCCTATGTCCTGATACCTTCTGCCGCAACCCCTGGCTTCTTCTCTGCCTTTCTCCCTTTATGATCGACTCGCCATGGGGACCCTTAGAGCTGCCGGTGGGTCGCTAGTCTGTCGCTGCGCATGACTTCTCTAATACTACGACATGCATCCTGTCTGGCAGGAGGCCTTGACCAATATCAGCGACCCCCTTTGGAGCAACTTTGATTATGTGGTTGTGGCATTGCTACCACACCTTATCCCCACTCCATGAACTGGTCGAGGCATAGCGGTTTGCGTTTTGCTCCAATATTGTGGCAAGGGTAAGGGGGACTGATAGACTTGGCGCTCGCATTTCATTTTCTGTTGATTTTTCCTTTGAAGACTAAATTGAGGATCCTGCTAGATGGGGATTTTGGAATACAATATATCATAGACGGTAGGGATGGACATGTTATGGAATGGATACAGGGAACATGGGGGAAACTGGATTGAGTTTTTGGATATTTTTCTGATTTTGTCACTGGGACCATTCTTGGTTTTTCCAGACTTGTTTTTTCTTTACTGTTATTTTCTTCAAATCATCTCGAAGCCCCTTCTTTTTTACCCCATCAATCATTTCACATTCGCTTGTCCCTCCCGTGGTTGCGGGACAGGATTATCATCAATCGCCTTATTTAGTGTGTGCAGGCTCTCCTGCAAAGTGGCATATACCCTTTTTGAGCATTATTCATTATTCATTCTGATCGTTGGGATCTTACCATCTTTTCATGTCAATCCCAGGAGTGCCTCGGGGAAGGGTTTTCTTTCGTTATGGCTGGCACTGGATTTGGAAGGGAAAAAAAATAAGGGAAAGCTCACGGAAACTTTTCCAACTCACCATCCTGGTTGGGTTTTGGATGGGATGGGAACGAGAGGATGTAGCATTTGGTTGGTTTAGGTTTCAAATGGCTCACTGGCGGAATGGTATGAGTTTGGGTTTATAGAGTATCGCACAGTTTCATAATGATAATCGCATTACACTGAAGAATTTTGAATCTCGCGCTCCGTTTATGATGTGAAAGCTACTTGCTAGAATACCAAAAACGTGGGATGGAGGCATGTGAGGTTATCCACCACATGGATTTGAGCAAGACTCGGTCTCTGTTGGACTGTTGTTCAATGGAATCACCGTTGCACCTCATTGATTGTTTGTATTGTCATCATCATTACTAGGTAGCTAATGAATACTTAAAAATGGTACAAAACGCCAACTGATTATGTATAGTCGCAGAACCAAGCGCAACTTCTTTTCCCAATTTTATCATTAACGCCGGCGTGAAAAATCACCAGACATGCTCGTTCACTCCCCCTCTCTTTACTCAATTGTGACCGTCCTTCAGACCTCGGATGGCCACCATGGCGCCCCAAGCACCAGGGTCGGGGGGAAGCTCAGAGTTGTCGCTCGATCCGCCTACATACGTCGCGCGGCCGAGGCGAGGGGTCATGGTCTTGGTGGCCTCGGCGCCCTTGATAGCCGCGTTGACACCCTCGGCGAAACCGGCCTTCTCCATGGCCTCGGCGAAGGGGATCAGGGTGTCCATGACGGTCCGGTCGCCGACCTTGGCGGGGGTGTAGCGCCTCAGGCTGGACAGGGCGGAGGACAGGGCGGCGCCCCAGAGAGCGACGGGGCCCTTGGAGGACGCGAGGGAGATGTTGGACTCGACGGCAGCGCGGAGGGAGACGAAGAAGATGCCGAGGATGCCTCCGAGGGTGCCGCCCATCTTCGACTCGACAATCTCCTCGAGCTCTAGGAGGACCTTGACGGCGGAGCCGGGCTTGGCGAGGCCGGCGTCGAGGGCGGAGAGGAGGGCGGTCGCGCCGGTCTTGAGGGTCTCGCCGCAGTCGCCGTCGCCCATGATGGTGTCCCAGCGGGTGAGGTCGGGCTCGGAGTCGACGACGGCGGCGCAGGCGCGGCGGAGCATGGCCTCGAGGAGGGCAGGGTCGACCTTGAGGTCGCGGGCGTCGTCGACGGGTCTGGGCTGCTCCTTGGGAGCGGAGACGATCTGGTCCCTGCGGCGGCGGCGGGTGGACTGAGAGCCTGTTATGGACTCCCAGTAGGTGGTTGTGCGGACATCGAAGAAGGCCTTGATCTGATCGAGGGAGTAGGAACAATTTCTTGCGGCGGCGGAGGCATTGACGACGGAGACGGAGAAGGCAGGAGCGTTGAGGGAGGTCTCGAGGAAGCCGCAGACGACGCGGACGGGCTCAATGGACCAGGTGGTCTCGAGCTGCTCGAGGAGCTCGTCGACGAGGGCACCCATCTCGAGATGGGACATGCCGCCGAAGTTGCTGACGAGGAGGAAGGTCTCGTCGCCGGGGGCGAAGTGAACGTAGCCTCGCTCGGGGTCGGACTCGTCGAGGCAGTTCTTGAGGATCTTGGCGACCAGCTCAGAGGGAGAGGGGGGAGGGGAAAGCTTCAGGAAGCCGGGCTCGTTGTGGGGGCCGGTGCCGAGCTCGACCTCGTCTTCTTTCAGGGTCGCGTGCTCGGTACGGCCGGGGACGTGGCAGTGGTCGAGGGTGGCGGCGATGGAGACGATCTGCTGGGAGAAGGCGACACCGAGGTCGTAGACTTCGTCGAGGGAGCCGCCCGCGCCGGCAGCACCGCCCATGACCTTGAGCACACCGATCTGGCCGGCGAGGCCACGGCGACCGACCATGGAGCCACGGCCCTTGCCGACGGAGACATCGTCGCCGCAGATGATGATACGGCAGTTGTGGCCGCGGGCGTTGGCCTTCTCGTTGGCGAGGCCAAAGTGTAGGCAGTCGCCGGTGTAATTTGTGACGACGAGAATAGTGCCCTTGTCGCTGGGGACGGCCTCGACGGCGGCAACGATCTGCTTGGTGCTGGGACTGGCGAAGATGTCGCCGGGGACAGAGGCGGCCAGCATGTTCTCGCCGACGTAGCCGGTCCAGGCGGGCTCGTGGCCGGAGCCGCCACCGGAGATGAGGGAGACGTTGGCGCGGTTATATGCAGTATCGTAGACGATGCGGTTGCCCTCGTCGAGGGAGAGGGACGGGTTGTAGGCGATGATGCCACGGAGGGCCTTGTTGACGAGGCCGTCGGGCGACTCGAAGAGGTGGCGCTTGGACATGGTGGGAGATGTGAGGATGGGTATTAAGAGGGTTACACAAAGAAAGAAACACAGAGAAAGCACTCGCTAGAGACAAGATGCTACAGAGATGATGCGTGATGTATATCGATGGAAGGAGGGGAGGAATGGAGGAAGAGAGGGGAGACGAGACACAGGCGAGAGGAGAGAAGAGGGGGTTGTGCGACAGATCGGCTCGAGTGCCTTGTCGTTCCAATTGGGAGCTATGTAAGAATTATGTATGCAGAGCAGACCACTTGTTTACGTAGTAGCAGAACACAGAAGCTCAAGCTCTAGCTCCGATCCGAACTCGGCTTGCCTGGAAGAGGGCGAAAGCTTCTGCTGTCCTCGTGGCCAGAGCCCAGCATCCATTGAGGGTCCGGGGAGTGGGTTCGGCCGTCTGCATTCGACACGGCGAGGTGATGCTTGATTCCAGGGAAGAGCTGCGAGCGTGTGTGTCTGGGTCGATCGCGGGTTGGGAAGAAGCCCCTCTTTGGCCCCTCCTTTGCGGATCTCGACGATTTTGACGGATGTTGGAGAAGCAGGGGTTTGGCAGCCAATGACAGGCCGCTCGATGGATCTGGGACAATAAACTTCTGGAGTCTCGACACGAAGAGAGGCGCGAGAAGGACATCGGATGTCCGAATCTGGAAACCCGGCCCCCAGAACGGCTCACTCTCCGCCTCTCGCCTCGCCTCCCCTGGCCTTTAGCCTGCCAGCTCTCGTCCGTGTTCCATTGTGGTTCCGCCGATGTGGGTGACGCAGAGTCTAGAGCATCATGGAGGGGCGACAGCTCTCCTGGCTGACATCGGGATGCTGTTTCGGAGGCGCGCCGTGCCCCTGGTGGAGATTGTTAAGCTGTAGCAGCATGTTTCTTTTCGGTCAATGGCACTCGGCGGTTGATTGATGGCTGGGAACGAGCGCTTGTTGGATCCTTGTTGGATTCTGGATCAGCTGTGAGCGGCGGATGGACATTGGGAGTAAACCGTGTAAGTGACGGATGGGGTTTCGTTAATTTCTCGATACTGCCACCTCCATCCTGTCCGTCTCGTTTCTCTTGTGAGAGCTGTTCATCACCACCGCTACTCTACTCACTTGTTTCTCTTCACGAATAATACAATACAATACATACACAATGGCACCTCAATGGAGAATCGTCATGGGCTGCGATGTAAGCACTCAACCATCCACGCACTCACCATCTTCAACTACTGACAAGACGCTTGCAGGAGGCCGGCCTCTCGTACAAGAACAAGATCAAGGCCGACTTCGAGGCCGACCCGCGAG